TTACACCACAGTTAATATTTAGTTCATCGTATCGAATTTGAACGAAAAACTTAGTTACGGAGAGTGTAGCACGCAAAAGTTTCAGTTGCGTATGGATGACGAACTAATACCACTTCTCGAAATCTCAGAGTAGGCTTTTTCGAGCATTAATTTGCAGATTTGTTGACTATCTCTCAAATAATATTCTAATATTTATATATGCAAAAATATTTTGCTATTTATTTGCATATCTTAGATAACTTCAACTTATAATCCAATCTATCGATTGATCTGGTCAAGTTTTTCTTCTCGTGAACTGAGCTGACTAACATTGTGATGTTGTTTAGAAAGTAATAAATGAAATAAACTGAAGCAACTATTTGTTGATCGATTTGTTGGCAGTTACGCACATAATTGACACATTAGATAGACCTTCCTCATAATGAATTGTTTTTTTGCTGTTGATTTATTTGCATCAAATTTGAGCTGAATTTCAGGTCAGTACCAAATTGCAAGCCATATTCGAAAGGAACATCAATGGAAAGTGTCAGTTCTGGAAACAAACGAAACAAAAAAAACGAAAATTTTGTTAAAATTGAAAAAGTCAGGTACATTTTCACTATTTACAAAAATATCTTACAGTAATAAAATTGCTCATTACTACTTTTATAAAGCTTGATTCTTTTGTTATCTGATTATGTCGAAGTACTAGTGAACTACTTCTTCTTTATATTTTTTTGCGTACTGCTTAAAAATGGCTTTAATATTATCAGAAAAATAATTGCTGCACGTGTTATGACATTATTTCAATCATGATTAATTTCATTTATTTCAACAGCACTTAAATAAGTATAGCTGAAATTTTCACTCAAAATTTTCATAATACTTATTAAAACCAAAAAGACATTTATAATTAATTGTGATTACTTAATTCGATTTAGACACAATTAACTTATATATAAAATAGTGATGTACTGAATATAATTAATTATGAGCTTAAAAAAGCTATAAAATATTAACTTTAGATAACTGATTTAGGCAAGATTAACTGCAAATATTTGTGCAAGGCTTTACAATATTTTGATCTGATTTCTGTAAATTTTTTCTTGAAAGTTTTTTGAATTTTTCGTTAATGAGATAATTAGTGGAAAATAATTGAACTTGAAAATCTTAAAAATTGTTTGCAATCTAAAAAAATAAATTGCATATAAAGAGTAACTAGACTGAAGTGAATAAGTCTGAATTTTAAGTGGTGTATAGTTTTGTAAAACTTTTTCTGTACCTTTTCATTATGCTCAGATATGATTTAGAAAATTTTTTCTTGATTTTTTACTCGATACAAGCAATCTGTTGGCAACAATAAGTGTTTCAGAAATAATTACTTTTGTTAAATAATATGTTTTATATTTCTAAAATGATTCAATACTTAAAATAAGTAAAGATTTTATAAGTTCCTTCGATTAAATAAATAAATGAATATTTGCTGATAATTGATCTGATTTTCAAATATGTGCATATATCGTTCATTAAAAGTTACAAAATTAATTTAGACACAATTAACTTCAAAAATTTACTTTTTGCACTACAAATATGAGATAATCTGAATCAAATATCAGCTAATAAAATCGCTGAGTAGTCTCTGAATGAATAATTTGAAAAAGTTCAGCAAAAATACTGCTCTGAGAAAATTCAATCTTTTCTCTGTAATTGTTTTTGCGTCCCATACACATACTCTGAGCTTCCAATGGGAAATTCAAAGTTATGCAACTGATAAGGAAATATTTACACTGTGATGGTAAGTAGCAAGCTAAATGCTTATAATTTATTTTAATTATGATTTCTTTTTCCTTTACAGTATTCAGCTTAAGAGTTTGCTAAATTAGTAATGATTGTTTTAATAACTGAATTGTGTCGAACGTTTACAATTCTAATTAATTTTAAATATTAAACGTATTATTTTTGAATGGAACATATTACTAAAGCGTACAAAAAAGTGAAATAGAAAGCTCTTTTGAATGATTTTGTAGCGATTTTGAAAAGCTATTTGATGAATTTGCTTGGGAAGGCAAAAATGGTGCTGCTTAAGAATTTTTTTTCAGACGTTTTTTTACCAATTTTTACTGACTTTTTCAATGAATTATAAAAATTGTTTTTATGGTTTTATTTATCTTCACAACTTTATATTTGCATTTTTCAAAAATTGTTGTACTCTTTGCAGATCAAATTTTCATCTCTACTTGATTACTGGAACTCAAGTAACTTTTTTAATAAACGAAAGATTATGATGATAGTATGATAGATAATAAGTTCACATTTTTAATCAATTAATATTAATCCTTTGATTACATATACATTGACATTTAGAGCTGGAAATCATGTAACATCACATAAAATAAGTAACACTTTTTAAAAAAACGTTGAAATCATGGCTAAAATATCATATTTACTATTTTTAATATTAATTGATGTCATCTGACTGCAATATCACTGCTACTTTTAAGAATATTGTAAAGCACTATAAAATTTGATAAACTATTTAATAAGTAATTTGAAATCAGTCAGAAGATTTACTGGAATATAAAATCTTAATTTACAGAACTGTAGTTTAAGAAAAAAAATCAATTATCAAAGTTCAGGAAATTTTTATCATAATAATGACTAAACTTATGTCAGTTTATCACAAAGTTACAATTTTCTGACGATAAAAAAACGTCGATCACAACTTTTTTCTATGCAGTGCCACCTTATCATTATATCTTTGCGCATTAATACTGAATTGCCCGTTTTTTGGAATTTATTGTTAATGTATATGTAATTACATTTAAATTTAACGTTTTCTTTTTGAGACAATCCATTCAATTTAAATAATTTGGCCAATTTACATTATTAAAAATTTTGGTAATTTTTAATTTTTCCTATTTAAAATCATTATTTTTTTGATTAAGTTTTAGTTCTTTTTTTGATTTTTACAATTATTCTCTTTAAGCCGTAAACATTAGCAAATACCATAAATTTCTTCAGCTACAGAATTTTTGCTTACTGATACTCACAATATTCATAATTTAAATATATATTTCTGCGATGACGCTTTTTCTGCAAATCCAAGTACAAAAGATACATGTGGATTGCAAACTTTTTAAAAAAATACTTAAAAATCTCAGGAAAGAATTAAATTTGCTTTACTCAAAATTTTTCGTTCAAAATTGTGATAACTAAATATTTCTTTTTCTTTTTCTTTATTTCTGTGAGTGCTCAATTACTGAGAATTAGTCGTGAACAAAACGTCTTTTCTTAACGCTCTAATTTGATAATTTTTTATGCGAAATGAGTTCAACTTTGTTATTAATTCCATATTTAAATTAGCAAGAATATATTTAACATAAAATTCTAGTGAGTTTACTTGAATTCTAGACTACTGTTTTCAGAAATTTGAAATATGCTTACTTTGCATAATAAACTCAATATCGAATAAATTAAAAATGTTTATGAAAACATTTTAGCATGTGATTAAAGCATTTGTTCTTTATACAGGTATTATCTATTAGTTTTCGAGCATTAAAAGTGGGATTTATTTTATACATTCGATTTTAAGGCAGAGAAAATACTGAATGATAAGTGAACTGTTTTTGAAGACTGAAAACTTTTATTCAATTACAAAGCTTATTTTTGACTATCATAGCAGTAATCTAATAACTTTCTAAATTGTACAAACATTATATTATTTCATTTCTTTAAATGTTGCTTAAGTCTGAGGAAGAAATTTGAAGTAGAAAGTTGAATTTCGTTTACACAATCGCAAATTGATCGAAGCACTAATAATATTTTATATAATAGGTTAAAGGTGCTAGCCCATTTCTGTACATCACTTTGAGAGATATTTTAAAATTGACATTGACTTCAAGTTATTCAGAATTGATCTAAGAATCAATGGACTGAGCTAATTAATCCGATTATACATTTATCTTTGGTGTATGTTTTAAAAATTTTTGACATTTTGGCAACTATTTTTTTAACTACTAAAACTTGACATTTTAACAAAAATACTAAAAATTTCATACTAAAATTATTAGTAAAATGCAACAGAAGATTTTGAGTTTGTAACTTTTGTAGTTTGCATTTATATTTGCCTTAAAAATAGTTTCCAAGCAATTATAAATGAATTGTTTTCGCTATTAAAAATGATTTATCGTAAAAGTCTCAAAATTATGAAAAGCAAAAAAAAACTACGTGAAATAGATCAAAGTCGCTCAAACTTAATGTTACGCAAAAGTAATGTATGTATCATTAATAGTTTATAAAAGGCTTTGTAACATGTTTTGCATTTAATTAATTAGGTTCACATAAATTCAAAACCATTCCAGGCCATAATTTTAATAGCGAAGACAATTTAATATATTTTTTAATAATTGTAAAAGTAGTTTTGAATCGTATTTATTTCGTTTCCAGAAATATTTATCTGATTAAAACTTAGAATTTCCAGTACTACTTTTTCTGATCTTAAAATACTACTAGAAAACATTTGATAACAATATTAAAGAAATTGGCTTTTACAGGCCATCAATACCGTTGCCTTTTATGCCAATTGCTGTCCAAATACCTACTGAATATGAGAAACATATCACAGTTTTACAACTTTCAAGTGCACCGAGCAAATCACGCAAAGCTTACGGAAATGCCCGGGTGAAAGTTCACGAAAAAAATCGTTCAAAATACAGTGCAGCTCAAAATAACGACAGAAATAGGTCTGATAATATCTAAACTTAATGGAATGTTACAATAGTGTTAAATATCAAATAGTTTTTTGAAAGTAACTGTCCTTATTTTACATGAGTTTTTTTGTTATCAAAATTAATTTACGAAAACTTTGTAAACTCTTCATAGTTATTTTTCTAATGACAATCTTACTTTAATAGTGACTGTCCTTTTATAATAACTATGCATGCCTTTGAATTTACTTTGAGATCGATGAACTTCAAAAAGTAACATAAAAAACTAAGAAAATTGAAATAATCACAAAATGTTGCAGTTTCGATGGAGAAAACTTCGATAAAAGCACTACTCCGTTTAAATCCTCAAAATATACAGCCAAAGGTTGGATGGCAATTTGCATGTTATCAGCTGCAAATCTTGGTAGCACTACAGTATACAGTTGCATTGCCCCTTTTTATCCAAATGCAGTCAGTTTTGAATAATTCAACTACTTTGCTTCAAATTGCAATATTTTTCAATTAATTCATTTGTATGAACAAGAATCCCAAATATAAAGCTTTATTTCCAAAACTTTGGCTACTTGCTTTTCAAGTTCTTTAAATTCAGTGTTGTGGATTTAGAGAAACGTTCTTTTTAAAGAATATTGTAAGAAGTTTTATTACTATTTTTAAATCAGTTGTGTTTAAAACTCATTTTACTGTCATACTGCTAGCACAATAACTTTAAAGATGAAAACTCGTTCTACTTTTACTTTAGCTTAATTGTACTGGTTTCAGGCAAAAGTCAAAGGTCTAGGAAGCTTTGAAACAGGCATTGTATTCGGGATTTTTGAGCTAATAATGTTTTTTGCTGCTCCGCTTTTCGGAAAATATGTAAGTTCTGAGAAAATTTGCTAACATTACTTCTGCAATATCTAAATAACAAAACAAGCCAATTTTTGAACTTAATATATTTTGACAGATTTAAGATAATATCATAAGCTAGCAAGAATTGTTGTATTATATCTTAAAATTAAAATATTGTCAATATTGCTACTGTCGTTGTTACCTTTTCTGTATCTTTTATCTGTAACTTGTAAATAAACAAGGTTTTGATACAAATTTTGCAGATGTCAGTCTTAGGACACAAAAGAATGTTTGTTTTTGGTATCGCTGTTACTGGTACAACTGCTATGCTTTTTGGGTATATTACTTTAAACGGAAGAATTCAAATTCTCTAATTCATTTCACCGTTATAATCAAGATTATGTGGATAATTACGAATTCATTATCATGTGATTTTAGCTTCTTAAATTACATTGAGTCATCGTCATTATTCTTCTGGTGTTCAGTAACTATTCGCATTGCTGAAGCAGTTGGTGATGCCGCATTCGTAACTTCGTCGTTTGCAATCGCTGCGAAACGCTTTCCCGGGCGTGTCGCAACTATTATTGTAGGCTATTTATGAATTTGTGCAGTGTATAATTTATGCATCGAGATTACCAAGCAAACATTAAGGATAGTAAAAAATTGATAAATTTTTTTGCATTTAATCATATTACAAACTTGAAAATTCTAGTATATATATCTCAATTTCGCTTCTCTCATTTATATTCATCACTAATAGATTGAAAAAGTTGCAAAAATAGCAGTAAAAACAATACACATTATTAAGTTTTCATTACAAAGTAAACAGCGCAAATAAAATTACAAAACAAAAATGCTAACAATTGACAGAAGCATGAAGTTATTTTTTGATAATTACATGCCTGTATAAAAATACAGCACATAGGCATGTGTATCGAATCTTTGCTTGCTTTGACCTTTAGAATTAAGACCGTTGCTTTGAGTCTGAAAGATCACAGCAAGCAAAAATCAGTCAAGAAATTAGCTTGAACAACTAATGGATAGAAATAATGATCAAAATGTATGTAGCAAAAATATTTTTGTCATACATATTTGGTCATTATTTCTATTCATGAACAATAACCAAAAATTCTACTAATCATTCTAAGCACTTCGACTTTACATAGAAATTTTTGGCAAAAAGTACAATTTATTGATTGTCTGAAGAGAATTTTCCAGTTCATCGCTCATCTCAGAATGTTAATGATTATTTTGTTTCGTAGAAATTACTAGTTTGATAGAAATCAAGGCCGACTTAGAATGAAATCATTCAAGGGAATACTGGAGACATTTGCTGGACTTGGCTATACTGCTGGTCCTCCTCTCGGTGGAATGCTTTATGAGATCGGTGGTTTTCAATTACCATTTCTTGTCTTGGGACTTGTTCTTCTATTTATATCATTACTTGCATATTTCTTGATTGAAAAAATTGATGGTATATGCTTTTTGTTTAATCAAATCTGTATTTGAATTTCAATGCCATTAATTCATTTAATTCATAAAATAATTCAAATTGATTTACAAGTTCTGAATGGATTAATTTATTGAACAATTTCAAAGATGATATAGCTATGAATGGTAAAGATATGCTCGGGATGTTGAAAATACCTGTATTTTGGATAATGATTTATGCTGTTTTTTTGTGTGCCATATCGCTATCATTTCTGGACCCGACCTTAGCTCATCATTTAGAATCGGTACTGTTTATCTGAAAATTTTAAAATAATTATTAATTCATTCGATAAATTTTATTGTACACTCTGGTACTTAACAATAATAGTTTTTTCACATAGTTTATAATTATTTTAGAATTTGCTTTTCAAATTCTAAAGAAATATTTAACCTTCACTTACACTTTTCATGTATTTCTAAGCTTAAGATTTTTTCATTTTGATTTATTTCCAACTTTTATTTCATGACAAAAATTTTCTAAAACTAATACAAATGCTATGGTAAAATACGAAATTATAAATATTATTTAAATGAAATTCTATAGGAAAAAATTTAATTTTTCAAACTTTCAGTTCAAACTTTCGACAACTGTCGTGGGATTAATGTTTTTGCTGTGTGGTGGAATCTATACGATAACAGCAATGTTTTGGGGCGTAATTGTTGATAAATTTAGCTGCCACCGGGCAATATTATTTTTTGGTGCTACTGCTGTAGTATTAAGTATGGTTATGATTGGCCCATTACCTTTGTTGAAAGTTGAAAAGTAACTTTTTGTGCTAAATTCAATAAAATATAGAATAGCAAATTAATAAAATTGATAAATAAGTTAGGAGACTTTCGGATACAGTTTGATGGTTGGATATAATAGAAATCGCAGTGATATAATTACATTTGTCTTAATAATTAGTTGCTAAAAATTATTTAAAAATATTTCAAGAATGCAACATTTTTAACTGCTTGTTACAATCATTTTTGTGAATATAAATAAAACAAAATTCTGTCTGGCTTCCAAAGTCGCTGAAGGAGACTTTTGGTTTTTTAAAGCTTCATGAGCACATTATTTTTAATAATAAAAAGATAGAGAATATAAATTCCGAGCAAATTTTATAGACAAATAACAAAAAGTGTTAATAAATATAGCAAAGAGATTAAAATTTTGTACTTTTAAAATGGGTTTACTTTTTTTTTAAGAAAAAATGCTCAAAAAAAATCTGAGATGAGATATTGCGATCAAAAAAACAGATAGAATCTTTTTGTTCGCAATTGTGATTCATTTGAATCAGTAAGACAACTGTGAACATCATTTGTTATTTGTTTGTAAAAAAATGAAAAATATGTTCTGGAAACCAAAAAAATTTTTAACAATCGCTATTTCTAATAAATTATGTGACTGGAAAATTTTCATTTTAAAGTGCTAAAAGTGAATGATTCAACTTTTTTCAGAAATTTGGCTTGGATTGCGATTGCTTTAGGTGTGCTTGGCGTAGCTGCAAGTGCCATATACATTCCAACTTTTCAAGCTTGTATTGATGCTGTTTGGTACAACATTTAAGATCACATTTAAGATTAAGACAAATTAAGCTTAGACTATAATGAAATCAAATTGGAAATTCTATATAAATAATACTTGCGAGCAAGTAAAGAGAGAGAATCGCTTAGACTGGCCAAAAAATCGTAGCTGTGATTGAGTGCTGCGAAAATATAAGAAAAAGTATGTGAGTGTCTAAGAATAGCTAATGTAATAGAAAACAAAAACAACAAAGAGGTTGAAATCAGAGCAAGAAAAAGATTGAGAAAATGAGTAGAGATGTGTGAATAGCATAGTGTTGGGGACGACAAAGATTATAGAAGAAGTGTATGGTGCATTTGGGACTTCAAGATAAAAGCATAAGACATTATTTATTATTATTATTATTATTTCACATCTAGAAAAGATCTTGTTACGTTAATTTTAATATTGAAATAACCAAACATTTAGCTGAAAAGTTGTGGGTGTTTAATTGGCGGTTATTGGATTCGGAAATAAGTCTTAAAATTTACAACTTTTGTAGTGAATACGGTTATGAGGATTCAGCGCAAACATATGGATGTGTTTCAGGTGTTGTGCAGTCCGCATTTGCTTTTGGGTAAGCTATGATGATGATTTATAGATTTTTTTAAGTTTATCTTCAAACTTACTCACTTTCAATGTCAAAATTTAATTTCAAATAACTTTCAGTTCATTCATCGGTCCTACGATTGGTGGCTTATGTGCTGAATGGATTGGTTTCGCATGGACAGCTGCTATCATAGCCTTATTAAATATCATTTTTGTTAGTTTTTGCGATAATTTTAGAGTGAAATGAAAAATTATAGATTAGAATTTCATTTCGATAATAGTACTTTTGTGCTACCAATCATATGATTTATTCTCTATAACATCATATGTGAATTGCTCCCGAAAATTCAGATTCATTTAAAATTTTGGTTCAATTAGCGTTTTTAAGGTTGCTGTAACAATATGTTTCGATGCGATTTACAGTAAAAGCAGCAGCAGGCTAAATCGCTGCAATCGAAAAAAGTCAGGTCGTAATAGTTGATTGTTTTGTCAATTATTGTAAATATACTATAAATATTTTAATAGAAATATGTGCTAAATACATCACCTTTTTTCGCCAACAGCTGAAAAAGATTCCTGATGAACAAATTTGATGTCAGTTGCTATGGCTTTTATTTAATGCCAAGAAACAAACGTTTATACGAAAATGTTGTTTTGTTTGGAATTCATTATTAAGTGATAAACAATGCAATTTAAAATCTTTGCAAGCAGAACTCGTCATTTAAAATGAAGCATTTAAGTAAATGTAGTATATAAGAAAAAATATACAACTTTATTTAACTTTGAAATATTGCTTTTCTCATTTTCAATGAACGAACTATATGCTTTCGAATATTGCTGACATTTGCATACGACCATTTCACAAGATAACTTTTGTATAGAAAGTATGCTTGGATATAAGTTGAAAACATTAAAATTAAACTTAAAGTTACTAGCAATTATAGTTTGTTACAGGGAAAAGTTTTGATTTTATTATTTTTAAAACTTATGTTTGTCTGTGAGCAGACGTAAGTTTTGATTTTATTCCTTCACGTTTTAGACCTCAAACTGATATCATAAAGTTTCCGAAGAAGAAAGATCAGATCAAATAAGATAACATTTTGTTGCTCATAATCTTTTGTGAATAGCATAATATTACCAGAAACATCGCTTTGCGGCATTTACAAATTAAAGTAACAGCTTTATCAGCTATTGCATTTACCGAAATTATCGCTTGCACATCCTTTGACCTTTTCTACTTTATTTTCCTTATACCTGAAGAATATACATATTATAACTGATATTTTCAAGTTCTAAAATAAATAATATCTGGTAGACTAAAGAATTTCTAGTCACTCGTTGAATACATCAGATTCAAGTTTGCAATGCAGATCCAATTTTTCATTAATAACACTTGAAATCCTTCATATTTTCATTTTTCACTTCTGATTACATGAAGTAAAGAATGATGCAATGAGTAGATAGACTAATTGTTGCAGTAACAATGAATACATACATATATTTGGGTGTAAAAATTAGTTATATCACGACATTTGCCGTAATTTGATATAGTGAGAGGAATAACTTGCAAGTGAGTAAAATTTAAAATATTGCAGCAAAAGTGGCACTTTTGTCATTACTGCTGCTTATTGTTACTAGTATTATTATCACAACAGAGTAAACAGACAAATATACAAAATCTAACAAACAAAAAGATTGACATGATATCAGAAGGAGATTGAAGTGATAACTATCTGATAGCATTTGAATATCTTGTGAATAAATTCAGACTAGGAATGAAGAATCTGTGTAAATATGTTTGAAATTCAACGGAAAACAGAAAATTATTCACAAGATTTCAGTGGATTTCACTGCAGTACTGTGTCACAACAGAATTACTCATGACGTGTTTGGTTGGATAAAAGACTACAAGTAGTCGTAATATTGTTACGTTTCCAGCTAGAAAAAAAGCGTCATACTCATCGAACTGCTTACTTTAACTAAAATAGAATGATGCACATAAGAAAAAGAATGCTGCTAAAATTTTCGTTCATTTTTCAGCAAGAATCTTAAATTTTAAGATTTCTTGCCATTTTTTTATTTGTTTTTACTGATTATTATTCAGAATTATTAATTATGTAACTTAGTAATGAAAGTACTACATAAATTTATGCACAAAAGATTAAATTTTGGATTCAGAACTAGAGCTAAATAGCTGAAAATACATCTGAATCCACTGAAAGCATCAGTCCATCACTGCTACGAAGGCATGGCATGTATAATTAATGATTGCCTGCAACCTCCACTTCATTCATTCATCATTCTTTCTCTTCTCACAAATCTGAAATATGCAAGTTTTGTCTCAGATGCAAATTTTTCCAGGTTCTATTCTAGAAAAATTAATTGTTGGATTCAAAACTCAAACCCACTTGTACTCGAACTATAATTTTTTTTAAAGTCAAAAGTAACGAGAGATCATGTGTATCAGTTGTAGAAGTGAATGAATGACTTATCCGTCTACAACTAATTGCTGTTGTGAAGGTTAAAGGTAAAGATGATGAGAAAACATAAAGTTCAGCTAGCAGAGAAAAATAGCAAGCTAATAGTAAATTGTAAGCGTCGATAATCAATGTTTATGAATATTTTTGTGCAAAAATTCCGCAGAAAAGGAACAGCTGTGTAGATGGAGTAAGTGTAGACGGATAGTTAGGCGGATAGAATGCAAGATGAATGGATGGATAATCGTTAAGAGGAAAACTTGAGCTAGTAAGACTCTGAGGTCGGTCGGCTAGCGTTACCTCTGGTCAACCTTTACCCTAAGCTCAGCTCTCTTTTTCCTCACATTTTCAAACTTCGTTCCAATTAGCTAAATAATTTAGTACTTTTTACTCATGTTCTTTATCATATTACAAATGTAAATTTTAAATCAAACTCACGCGTCAAATGTTACTCTTGTATTTATAACAGTGCTGTTTTTCCAATATAGCACTTTTCTAGCTTTTTTTAATCTCTTATTTATCACTGATTATTTTTCAAAAGCACAAAAATTCCTTATCAGTATTATTTTAACAATAAAATTTGTGTAAAAATACATTTACTTTATGGTTATTTAAAGAGTCTAACATTAACTTTGGTTACTTTCTGCTTGACCACTATTACACGCTTATCATACTTTCTTGAGAAGTTTAGTTTTGACTTATAAAACTAGCATGACACAATTTTTTTTAAAAAAAAGCATAGAAACACTTAATTTTTAATCAGTGTAGTTGTTGAATAAACTTTTTACTTTTTATCAATTACTTAAATCGACATTTATCTTTTAGAATGAGCGATTTGGCAGATTAACTATCAAAATTTGAAATTTGATTCATAACAGAAGCTCAGACAATACGGCGAAGTTTCCATTAAGACTAGAAATTAGAAACTACTTTAATGATTCCCAATGTTATCTTTTATAAATTTTGATACTTAAAGTTTAGTTTATAGTGAAACTGTTTGTTGGGTACGGTATGACCTACAAACAAAATTTGATTTACAGTATAACGTGTAAATTCTTATGTCTGTGTTCTGTGTGCCACCAGTGTTTCAATATTGTAATTTTTGACTTTTGACTTTTGACATATTTGAGTGACTTCAAGGAGACAAAAAAATTAGATCTTATTGAAGGCGTGTGAAACTAGCGAGGTTGAAGGAGTGAGCTGCAAGATCATATCATTGGTATCCGTAAAAAAAATTAACAGTGAATGAACTGATACGTCTGAAAATTGTTTCGAAAATTAGTTCAAAATTTTTTTATAAAACTTCATATGTCATTTGTGTCTAATTTTTCATTTTAAAAATTTATTATTAGCAAATTTGCTTCAGAACAACGTTTAGTTTTATAAAATTCTCAATTCAAACGAGTAATAGTCAACACTTTTGTATTAAATAACCAAGAAAATATTTGTAATTAAAGGAGAATATGGCAAAGTCATAATGATTATAATAAATTCAAATATCACTTTTAACATTTTTATTTGATTCGTTTCCGTTTTTGCTCAGACAGCCAAAATTATTTAAATTTTTTTGCGGTTTAGAAATTATTGAGGGAGCAGTTTATGATTGAAATTTGAATATTTATTTTGAATTTGAACTCGAAATTTTTTCCTTATGAAATTTATACTGTCAAAATTAAAGACTTGAAGAGACGTTGTGGAAACTGCTCGAAACTTCGCCTGGATCAGACGTATGTCCGCATCTTATTTGTAGATTTTTTGTGATTCATAAATTTTATCAGTCAACAAAGACGATCAAAAAACCTATGTGAGTAGTCGTTCACATATTGTATTGTCTGGGTCAGTTATAGCTGACCTATGGCTATAATTAGAATTCGACATTTTACGAACCAAAAAAACAAATAACTTAGAAAACAACTAAGTGATGCTTTAATGATTTATCCATTCACATTTTTATATTTGGAGCTTTTTTAATTTCTATCAATTTTAATCAAATTATCTTTTTTCTCGAATTACTGAAAAAAAATTAATTCATATTTTGTCCTAAAAATAAGTATGCTGATCAAGAATAAATATGTCTCGAATCAGGAATCAGATTTTTTCTTAACGTGGAGGACATAAGCGCAAACTTCATCACAATCCGCATAATCGTTTTTTCCTTATTTTTTTGATTTAATTTCTTACTGTAACGTGATTATTTTATCACTTGCTTAATTTGGTTTTCTTCACTTAAATTGTGTAGTTTGATTTTGCGGACATGTTTCCTACTTTAAGAAAAGATAAATGCAGTATGCAGTAGTGCTTAAGTTCATGAGTTAGATGCACCTGTTGATCAAAGAGGTCAAGCAACAAATCCACCAGATGTATACACCATAGCTGGCATCTGTTGCACTGTTGTTAGCACGTGTTGACGTAATCGCTTGACTTTTACTTATTTTGTTCCTCTAATAACTCACTTTGTACTTTAAATCAGAAGAATTTTTTGTGAATGACTGTTTACTTTATCTAAGGCGTAAAGTAATACTACTTGATAAAAAGTAACTACTTGAGAAGTGGTAGAGAACAGTACACTTGAGGAACAAAGCCTACTTGATTTGAACCCAGTTATCCTGGAAATGAAAATTAAATAAGATGATTTCATATTTTTCGAAGGATCATAAAACCAAAAATAACTCTATAAACAAAAACAGTAATTGTAGTAAGAATCAGTATGATAACGATTCGTATTGTGTACTTTTTATAAACTCGTTTGAAAAAGGTAATATGCTAATAA